AAAAACCATAGCTGTGCGTCAGTAAAAATCCTTTCCAAGAAGCCCATTAAGAGAAGTTATGCATAGAATTAGGATTTTAGTCCTGCCTCGAAACTTCCTCTAATGAATAGCAAGTAAAACCTGAAAATTTCATACAATAAGGAATGCTAATATTTCCATTCATAAGATTTTAAAATTTAAAATAAATAGCTTAAAATTGTTTCAATGGAAATAATCACCTTTATAATAATTTTGCATTTTCTAAAAGGTGTTTTTCCTTCACTTCTAAACTTGTTCCATCTCAGGCAGGGTGATGCAAAATAATTTAAATAGAACAGCCAAAATTTTGCCTCACGATAAGTGTAATTAAATGGCTTTTGTATGTTTCCCTACCCCTCCCCTTCTTGTCTATTTTAATTCCTTCCTTTAACTTCATACAATTTTAGGAGCAAAAAGTTCCATAGCGCCGACGATTCTTTCAGCCCGGTTGCGAGTCTCGGTGGCGCCGCATGTGCTTTAGCACCCGGCGTAGGCTCGAAATCGTGAATAGACTTAGGCCAGGGAGGCGCTGCAGGATATGGATGTGGATGTGCGGGCGGGAAATACGAGTATACGGGGCACCATTGAAAGTGCTCTCAATGTGTCTGTGTTTTTGCACTCCCATTCCCATTTCCATTTCCATTTCAATTCCAATTCGAATTCCGCTCGCATATTTGCAACAAATTTAAGTGCCCACGGAGCTCAAAAGTAGTAAAGAGGTTAAAAATCCACATAAAGCCAACATGGTTGCGACATTCTATACTTTGTGAGTCCCGATTATACGCCCTACAAAGTATGCAATTAAAAGTCGGTCGAATTCTCAAGCCACTCTTCTTTTTAGCCCGCAGTGGACCAATATTTTCATTGCTTGCCAATCGAAAAAGGTGCTGTGATAATGTAATAATTCCCCTGCCCTTTGACCCCTCTCCCAACTACGCGGCATTCATATTTTTGTGAGGAAAAGTTTCGGGGAAAAGAGGACCTGGGGGGCTGTTGATGAGTTGCCTTTGACTGCAGCCAGCCAGGGCCGCGATGGCATATTGTAAGTGTCCCATCCCCGTCCTCCGCCGCCACCATCCGCTTGGGGAAAATGCAAAAGAAAAGCGGTGAAAAGCAGCTGCCGCCGTCGCGTCCAAGCTGAGTGAGTGATGTGGCAACAATTTCGTATGCGTTTGCAGCAAACAGCCACGAGCTCGGCTACAGTAGGGATTGGCTAAGGATTGAGGTGCAAATGAAGCGTGAGGAAAGCTGATCAACTGGAAAACCCAAAGTAAATTGCTTGGATTTTGCTTTAAAAGGATACAGAAGGAACAGCGATGCAGAAAACTAGCAAAGGTTATCTTTAATGTTTGAAATTTAAAGTCTTTATAAAAAATTTAGTGAATGTTACTTATTAATCAGCTTAAGTAGTTCAGGAAACTACAGCATGTTGCACATTTTATTGACAATTCTAGCTAAAAATTTGTTAGCTGATAAAATCCAGGCATTAATTATTTACTTATAGGTATAACATTTACTTGGGAAATAACAAAACTAATGAATACTCTATTCCGTATGTTATATTAGCCTCCAGTCGTCACACGCGGGACAGTCTTCTCTGTACTTTATTTCGCTGCAAATTTGCAAACATCATCTTCTGTTCCATCGCGCAGTGGCACACGAATTCTAAAGCAGAAATTAAAATCTTAGCAGAGAAAATTGTGCTCATTGAGACGACAGAGCCAGAGACAGCTAAAACAGATGAAAAGTTCAGGGTCTAATTGAAGAGCCCGCACATGAGTTGGAATGGCCCGAAAGCTGATGATTAATGAATGATTTATGCGCTGGAAAGTGTGTCGTAATTAGCATATTATGCAAATCAAGGAAACCAGCAGAAAAACTGACCAGGGGCTTCCCTTTTCGGATAAACGGAGAAGGGCATGGGCAGGAGCTGGGGTGGGAGGTCTAGTCAGATTAAGGGTTGTCAGTCAGCTTGTGTTTTCAATTAACATGCAGCACGCTCCATTTGCTCGACTCTACTTAAAGGCTGGGAGTACTTTCCTCAGCCCTCATAAGTATGCAGACCGTCGGCTCTGTTTGTTTTCGCTTTCAGCCGAAACCGAGCTAATGTTTAATAATTGCTTTGTTGTAATTAAAACTTTGGAAAGATAAACGCCTTTATGTCTTGGTGAATTTATATAACTTCGAATTTCCCGATTGCATTGTAGACAGGCAGCAGAGCAGCCAAAGAAATGGGAAAAATTAAAAGCAATGGAAGGGAGCGGGAGCAGTTGCTAATTTGTATCTGTGTTGCGGTAGAGTGGAACGAAATCCTCCCAGTTAAGTCCATCCGATCCCTGCTCAGTGGCAGCGGCACGTACTGTTGGCCAGAAAGTAGTCAGCTGAGAACTCAGAGCCCCGAACCAAGAACCGCATTCTTGGCCGGCCTTGGCAGATCCCATTATTATGCAAACCACAGCCCAAACTTGCCTTTCGTTTCCTTTATTTTACTTGGCTCCGCCATCGAATTCTGTGAGTGTTTTTTTGCTCTTAAAATAATTTTCATCACGCCCGCTGATTGATTGATTGGTAGATGAGTGTCCCCAGCCCGTTCTGGGTCATTCAATTAAATGAATGCATTAAAATTTATATGCATCAAGTAGGAGAGCGAATGAAAAGCCTGAAATTGTTCTCGCCACAGGAAAATATTGAATTGCAATTATTTCCTCTTGATCGAGTTCATTGTTATTGTGTTCGTTAAGAGTTTATGAGAGGAATTTGTGCTGCCGAAGCAGCTTTTGGGCTTAGGGAAGCAATTAGGCGGCATTTCAACGGGTCAACGAGGCGTATGCGTTATGGAAGCGAAAATACCGCAATTAGTTGAATAGTTTTATGGGGCGCCTACTTGAATGGCACTAAATAAATGCTTGCTTGGCCCGAGATTGCCTTTAAAAACTATTCGAATTGTTTAGATGTGGCAGCGGGGCGTATACGCTACTTAAAATGAGGCCTTAATGGATGGACTTTGGATATTTATTGGCCGGTCGATTGAAGCTCAGCGGGTGCCGGGCAATAGCCGGACGGGAAAGCACAGGCAGTTTCATTCAGTAAATCACCGGGCATATTAATGCAGATGAGCCCCAGCAACTTGCAACTTAATTTGTATATTTAATTATTTTTCAATTACCATTTTAATTGATTTATGCGACAACATCATTTACAATTCCGCTGCCGCGTCGCAGCATTTCGTTTCGGGGTTAAATGTGTCATTACAATTCGGTGACCAAACATCTTCGGGAGGACAGCGTAAATCATTGCCAATTTAATTGAAAAGATTAAACATTAAAAATATCAATATTTCATTGATTACATTTCCAGGCTTAACAGCATTAATTTTGATGCCCATGTAAAGGTTTTCCGCTTCTCTCTTTTCTCTTTTCTCTCTTCTGTTTTCTGATTTCCGTTTTTGTTTGTTTTTGTTAACGGTAAATAAATGTCACAATTGTGCGAACAGAGGGCGGTGGTTCACAGCGTATAGATAGGTTAATCGCTTTAGACATATGTCCACTAAATTTGGCTAAATTCCCAAGGGAAATCCCTTGATTTATCGATTATATTCTGGGAAGATTTGATAACGTTTTCCTGAATTAAATTAAAGTATGCAAATTGAGTTTCGAATGTATGGCCACATCACTTTAAAGTATCTGCATGACATGGGCGACCCGAAGGAAACTTAATACAGACAAAGCTTAAAGAGGTGAATGCCACCTTGACAGACAGGCAACAAAATACAAAGTTGTGAATTATTAAAAATGCTTTTAGAGTCGTTCGAGCCCAGGACCTTCGTTCACTAAACGATGCCGGGTTGTAGGTTAAGTGCAGGCCTCATATTTATATACTTCGCCATGTACTCGTATTTATGTACATACGCACATGAACGCGTATGCACGTGGATCTGTTTCTGTGTCAAAGTCTTATTGAAATTTTCATGAGCCAGCAGTCCGAGCAGATAATGTGGCCCGCCTTTTGATTAGATTTTATGTAAATACTTTCTGGGCTACGAACCACAAAGATGGAAGTGCCAGGGCTCGGGGGAGAGGAGCAGCCGCAGACCGGAAAAATCAAATAAATATATAATCATGAGGCTGGCGCGAAAGTGAGCCGCGCTTTTCAAATTGGTATAAATGCGGCACGCTTTGGGACAAAAAGGCCTCGGTGGGTGACCGCCCCAGGGGGCGTATAGCCCGGATTTTCGCCCTGCGATTGTGCTAAGTCTGTTACTTAAAAGCCACAACATGAAATAAAATAATAATCAGGCTGTTGAAAGACGAGTTCGCAGTCCCTCAAGAAGCAGTCACCTGAAAGAACAGCCTTGCCACAAGAACTTTCTTTTGGTGGCACGCACTCGGGAGCTGTGCCGTTTAATTAATTAAAGGTGTTCAAATAACACACGGCCTCGCACTTGGGAATTTCCTTCTTTTCCCCCAGTACACACATGTTCTACTTTCGGTTTCCGAGTGCGGGTTCTTATATTTTTCTTTGCAAGTGCTTGGGTTATGGACACTTTGTTTCTTGGGATTAAAAAAGGAAAAGCTAACAAATCTCAAGAAAATGTAATAATTATAATGTTTCATTTCAGAGGGATTTCTCTTGAATATTTTAATAATTCTATGTGATTATATTAATAAAACGTATTTCGGTAGGGCTTATAAAACTGAGGTTAGGGATATTAAAATATTTATATAAAGATTTTATATCCTTATTTTGAGTTTTTATTAGCAATTTTAGGTAAAGTTTTTATATAAATTTGCACAAAGTTTTATTTATAAATATTTCTGTATTAATGTATTAATGCTAATGTAAAAAAGTAAATTCTTTTACTTTGTATTAATATTAGAATAATATTAGTTTTAGAACACTTAAAAAAAATGAAATTGGGTATTTTTCCTCCCGATAATTTCTCATCTGAAATGCAGGCAGCGATTTGTTCGCACAGTGCTTACCTGCTATTACCAATTATGAGTTTCTGGTCGAGCCTTGCGGCTTGTTTGAGCTCTCTGGCCACTAACTGCCACAACACCGTGCACCTCCTCTATGGTCTCTTGCTTTGAGCTGCAATCGCCGTGAACATTTCATTTGATTTTGCTTGAGTGGGATTGCAAGTTATAATTGTTGGCAATTTATTTATTACACAAGAACGAATTCTGTTAATTGGTTTGGCCCGACGCTAGCAAAGCTCATTTGCGAAATTTTCGGTTTGGTTTCGGTTGCATTGCCACGTCTCCGGATTTAAGGAAACTTTTCACTAAGACCTCGTAGCTTGCTTTCTTTGCCCTGTGTTTAATGAATCGGTGAGGATCGAGGGACAATCAAATCGAATTCAATTTGCGTTGACGTCGTCGGCAAGTTGAGTTGGTTGGGAAATTGTCACTTGAACTTTTACGGGAATCTCGGGACGGGCAGCTATCTAGTGCCGCTTCGTCGGTAGAGACACGAGAGATGGAAGAGCTTGTTTATGGAGACGCCGCCTGCTTTCCGCCAATCGCGTCCACACCCAACGCCAATTCGCACGGAACTGAGTCTGAACGCCAGCGTTCCCGCGGTCCGTCCTTAAACTTCAGCCACCCGCAACAGTTCGCCGCCTCTTCGTCGGCTCTTGGCCGGGCCGAAAGCATTCGGATACGTACGAGTGGTCCGCGTCGGCAAAGCAGTGCACAATCTCTCTTAACGAGGCTCTCTTAGTTGCCAAACTGTTGATTCAGCACGAACTAAACCAGCCAACTAAACCAACTGCAAACTGAATAAAGGGGCCAAAGGGCTTTGATTTTAACTTCAGGACTTGATTTGATTCAGTGGAATAAAAGGGAAAGTTCTTCGACCCTATAGATTACGCTAACTGGGCTGGTTTACAGGAACAATAAAGGCCAAGCAGATCAGCTTGATTTTAATTTGAATTACACTTTTTTTTTATTATTATATTGTGCAAAAATAAACCAATATAGTCAACAATATAATATATTTGAAAATGAACAGATGTGTATTAAATTGCAACGAGAAAAGCGTTAGAAAATAAATCCTGGCAATTAAAAAGAGAATTAATATGACTTTGACAGAAAAGAGATACTTATCAAAACCCAATTTGCGTAGCATTTATAAAATTAATACTCATTCGTTGTGGGTAAGAGTGAAAACAAGAAGAAAAACATAAATTAATTAAGCAACCTCAAAGCCAGAATATATTTATTGATATTTATAAAATTTAATTATATAAAAGCTAAATTATCACACACACAAAAGTGCTTTTGATGTAGAAGAAAACAAGTTCTGTCGAAATGAGAGAGAAGACTAACCTTCCCTTTGCATAAGAAGAATCTGGAATAGGAATTTTTGTACTTTCACTTCTCCACAAATGAATACCCGTTGCTCTGGGGGAAATGGCATTTACAAGGAGAATCGCACCGAGGAGACAGCTGCAAGAAGTGACAATTCACATCAGACATTCATGGCTGGAAGATAGGTATGAGTACGGTTTTTGTTATTCGCACACTCCGTTATTGCAAGATACAATAATTCCTTTCCACCTCCTGCTGCTCCGGCTTTTGTTCTTGCAGCTTCTGTGGGCTGCCTGTGGGCTGAGAAAACTCAATTATCTTGGAGCATGAGTCTGAAAAAGATGAGAAATGCAGCCTGGTTATTTTGAAATTCCAACCTTTCGGCCACCCGGACATAATCTAAGTCTCAGTTCTTGGGGTCCATTCTGTCCCAAGCTGTCCATGTCGACCGCACCTCCTCCTCCTCATTGCTGTTGTCAATTAAAGTTTCAGAAGTTGCATGTCACAGCAAATTATCCTGCACACAGGACACGCAAAAAAAAGTAAATGACAAACTGTGCCGAAGGTCCTGGGCAAATCATAAAGGCAAGTGCGCTCTTAGCTGCAAGTGGATGGCAAGAACCAGGAGGTGGATGAGGACAGTTTTTCTTCATAAACATTGGCAGTCTGTCATAACATGGCCAACACATTTAAGTGTATGATTCACATGAGGATTGCTGCTTGACAGCCAGAAGGGCACTGCCTGGAGGCCCCCACTCACCTTAACCACACACTTACAGATGTCTGTCTGTGTTTATGGGTCAGGAAAATTTGCATACCACTGCCACCTGAAAGCCATTGCAAACCGAAAAACACAAATATCAGTTGCTTTTCGAGGGTCTTAATTTATACACTCTTCCCAATAAGGCTCAGAATGGAAATTACCTGAGAGTTTTTACTAAGTTATTAGGATTGTTCTGATGAAGCTTTAGATTTCTGATTTCCCAGAAACCTTTCCAATGTTTCTAACATTCCGAATAAAGACCCTTCAAAGGATTTCTTTGCGCTTTTGCCTTCAATAAATCCAGTGCCCTTTCAACAGTTCGATGGCTAACAAAGGAGAATTTATTCAAAACCCGGAAACAATTTTCTTAATTTGACCCGAATGGAATATCCACAAATTATTTCTCCTTTCACTTTGACTGTCAACCCCCAACAAATAATAATTTATCTTCGAGAGCAAAAAATGGAAAATGAAAAGTTGCAAATTACAATGGCTTGGATCGATCGATAGTTGGCCAATATACCAGTACAGTGTGCATATGCATATGCACCCTACATCCTCCAAACATCCAATATCCAACAGCGGACATCCCCGTGCGGGTATATCCAGTATCTTGTCCCTGGTTTATTGTTGTTGCCATCCGATTGGGTTTGTAGTTGTTTATGGCACAAATGAATTGGCATCTTTCGAATACTTTCGGGTTGCCAGCCCTGCGGAGGATTTCCACGCTTCCCCCCATTCCTCACCTCCGCCCAGTCCCTTTCCGACTTTTCCCGGTGCCGCTCTTTTTCACTGCATAATCACCAGAGATGTTTGCCTGGTTGTTTGCTATTCTGTGTTTGGGGCCTGTGTCTGTGTTCTGGCAATGCATTGAACCAGAAATATGTAGATATGCCAATGAGTTCCTTTCATTTTTGGCCCTCTTTGTGTGCCATTTGCCGTTTGTGGGAGCCTGGCGCCTAAAAGTGGGCTACGAGTTCTGCCGGTAGCTTTAAGGCTAGGACTTTCCCTTTTCAGTGCGTGGAAGAGTGAGCTTGAAACTGAGTCCACTTAATTATTCAATTTCCGTGGCATTGTTCCTCGCCCTTATCGATTTTTACTTACCTTGCCTAACAATTTCTGTGTAAAGTTTACATAGGCTCGCTCAATCGCGTGAAATCGCTTAAAGTACTGAGGTTCAAAGGTCAACTGACTATTAAAAGCCTGTCAACTGTCAACCTGCGGGTCAGAATAAAATATTTCAACGTTGGTAACCTAAAGTGATTCCCGGAAAAATAGATATTATAAACAGTCAGTCCTCTCGAGCCAATTATATTAACGGTTTGCGGACTTAGAAAGCTTTTAGCTCATTGGAATAGCGGACAAATGGAGATCTAACAAATCTTGATTCATCTGATGAATGTGGACCAAAAGAATCCGCTTTTGTGGCTGCGGAATCTCATAAAAGATTAGCCACAAAAATGCTGGAGCCCCAGTTGCGGCTTCTTTTAATTATGCGAACAGGGATTGCTTTTTTTCGGTTCTTTTGTGCGAGTCGTTGGGCCACGAATGCTGAAATTGATGGCAGTTGGCTCAAGGACTTCCATTTGGCCTGGATGCAATAAAACAATTTAATTAAATTTTATGTGATCCAAGTGAAGGCAAATGAAAGCAAATAAACCACAATAAGCTCGTGGCAGATGGCACATATTGCGGGTGGCCAGCCTATCTTCATGTGGCAATTATGAGCTTAATGGTGTGTCTAAGTCGATGGCCTCTTCCTTGCGTCTGATCTCCCGGCCCATGTTTTTTCAATTTGCCACAAACTGTCACACATCATCGGGACAGAGGAGTCTTCCCATCCTGATCCATTCCTTCGGTCATTTAAAAACTTTGGCTTTAAGCAACTGTTTGCCAAATTTTTCACCCTGCTCCTTGGCCCTTGTGTGTTCCTGATTTATGCATGTGTTTAAAATGTTTAGCCTGTGCATAAATCGTTGGCAAAGTTTCGGCCACTGGGCCAGGCTCCTCCGCATCCTCTACATCCCATCCGCATATTCCCCATCCCAGCCACTTTGGCTAGGCCATCCATCCGGTGCTTTTCCTGTTTTGGGCTCATTGACCACTTTTCTGTTTGTGTTTATGTTCTGGCCTAGAAATTTCCTTTGTTTGCTGATTGAAATTGACTTTCAAGGGGCGCCAGTTGGCCTACTGAGCAAAAAAAGCAACCGAAAGAGCCCCTCTGAATTGAGGGATGGAATGTCTTCTTGTTGGGTCATCGAAAAGGTCAAGACACGAGGGATGTGCCGCATCCAAAATGATTCAAGTCATTTGTTTGGGCATTATCAATGAAGGAGCTGAAAGAAGATTGCATAGCATTGATATTAGCATTTATGAAATTTTTTAATCTAAAAGATTATCATTAGTCAGCTACAAGGAAATGTTAAAAGCTTACAGATTTTGAGAATAAGTCAAAAATAATGTAACACAATTACCAGCAATGACTAACAAAACATTATCAAAACATCCTCAAGGCTATTGTGTTAATATTCCCCTATACTTCTAAAATGTACTAATCCATGCTATTAGGGCTTTCAATAGCCTGGCCAATTCATTATCGCATCCTTAACTTGATTTTACTTGGTATTACTGTCCTCGCTCTTGGCCAATTAATCCCAATGCCGAACGCAATCCCAAGGATATCAGCCCATTGAATGGGACTTATCTTATTCAAATGTAAGTCTTCGGCCTCAATTAGTTGTAAATACAAGCTCACTTGACCAATACTCGACCATGATTATGGGAAAATAGCAAGCATACGCCAGGTGTGCCAGCATTAGATGTAGCCAGCGTTGGTAAGGCGTTTTTGCAGGGGACTGTGAATATCAAGGGTGCTCGGGGTTAGTTCGTAAACAAAGCCAATTAACGGCGGCAACAACAATCTTCAGCAGCTCAAGATGTCCAATACGAGAGGCTTTGCTTCCATCTCCTGGTAACTAATCTCTACATGACTCCTCCCGTATTGATTGGGCGCAGTTTGACAGGCACGTATAAGGACAGTGAGATGAACTCGGTCAGGAAATGGAGCAACCAGCAGTTGAAGAAACGGCATTGAGTTAGTCCTGATTTCGAATCGTGAGTCACGTTTCTGCAGTTGGTTTTGTAAACGCGTTTCTAGTTCTTATTTGTTTTCCTAATTTCTTAACTTTCCTTTCGGGTTTTGTTTAGTCAAACATACATTGAATGGAATTTTCTTCTTGTCATCAAAAAGTTATATGTTAAATTCTTCGATTAATATACTTACAATGTTAAAATAAACTTTAAAGTACTTAAAAAAAATCAACTTCGTACCATGCATAACAACTTGAAAGGTGCTCGCTATCCATAAATTACCATAAAATGTCAGCCGCTTAACTTGATTGGCTCCGCTGTAAAGCTTATTTCGTGACCGTCAAAACTCTTCTTAGACGACCTCGATCCGCTGAGCTATGAAGATCTCCCTATTTAGCCTGTCCATCATAACGCTGGTGCTGCTGATGTGCAGCTTCGCCGTGGAAGCGGGCAAGCCGTTGAAGTGTAAGCCTCCTCTTAAGCTCAACCCGAGGACAAAGAAATGCTTTAAGGCATCAGTCAAGAAGGTAGCTGTTGCAAAGGCAACCACAAAGGCAGCAGCAGCGGAATCGGCAACTACAGCAGCGTAGAGTCCCTTAACTTTAGTGATCCTGCACGAGTTAATAAATGAGAAGGGAAACCGCATTCTATTGTGGACTTTTTCTGTGAAAGCCATAAAGAGAATTCTCCTGCTTGAAAACTAGATTCCTATTACGCTTCTCCCTCCAAGAAAATTAAAAATAAGCCAGGCCATTTGAGCATCAAAGGAGCTGTCCGTCCCCCCAGCTCTCGAATCATCCATCCTGGGTGACGCAGAATAGGAGTCGCAATATAATCCCTCACCTATTAGCTGCATTCACAGCATGTGAGCTACGCAAAGAAATGGAAATGCCACTGCAATCCTGCTCCTTTGGGTCCCTCACTTGCTCTTAAACGGTGGCTTAGGGAATTTGAATTGATTGAATTTGAATTGCAGGGCAGCCAGCGGCAGCTGAAAATCTCTCATGTGTTTATGGGGAACTTGAGGCTTACTTGCAGCCAGTCCTCGCTCCAAACAGCTTGTCTGTCTTTTGGTTTTGCAGCCTGCAGAGCTCAAGTCCCTTTGCCGGATTATTGGCCAGGCATGACATGGTGCAATGGTATTCGGCAGCTAGGAATGCATTGATGTCTTAAAAAATTGTTTGGTTTTAAAACGAAATTTTAAGCTGGTTTATTTGAATCGAAATGTAACTCATATCTATAAGATAAAACTAAATGTTATACTATCTCTTAAAATTAGATCTTCCATAATTAATATGTCTTCTTATATAAATAACAGATAAAGAAGGAATGTTTTGATGTTATACCTTGTAGGAGTTACACATACGACCTGTTGGAGGTAATATATCAGTTATTTACTTTAACTTTACTCTTCCCTTTATCTGTTACACATTCTACGAGTAACGGGTTAAATAGGCTTTCGAAATCGTCAACGATATATAAACATATTGGAATTTAAAAGCAGTAAAGTCGACAACGTTGAGGTGATTGTTAATATTTCTGCTAGTTATGGAACCAATTTCATTAGGTTTCACTAATTTTCAGTTTATATAACAACAAAATAGGTGAAATGTATCTGAAAATTGAGATTAACTGTAAGATGTCTGTATATCCTGGCAACAACTCTCATTGATCTAATTAAATTTCGACTTAACATTTTTGGCCAAGTTTCGACCTTTTCCCTATTTTTTCTTTTCCTTCAGCTAAATTTTAATTAAATTCTATAAAATGATTGCCATAGACCCAAACAATGACATGGCATATTCCATCGTGGTCTTCGGAGCCTCAGGGGCCCTGGCCAAGCAGAGGGTGTTCCCAGCTCTTTGGGCTCTCTACCGGGAAAACCGACTACCGCAGGGCACCAAGATATTCACATACTGCCGGACTCACCTCCAGACAAAGACCTACCGGCTGCAAGTGCTGCCCTACATGGAGCTGGACAAGAATCGGGACCCGAAGAAGTACAACCTCTTCTGGAAGAACGTGTTCTGTGTGCAGGGTGAGTATGACAAACCGGAGCATTACGCGGCTCTCACGGAGGCGATGATAAGCCAGGAGCTGAAGCACAACCAGGTGCATGCAAACAGGATCTTTTACCTGGCTGTGCCGCCTATCGTCTTCGACCAGGTGACCCTGAATGCCAGCCGAAAGTGCAGCTCCACCACGGGCTGGAACCGGATCATTGTGGAGAAGCCGTTTGGACGGGACGACGTCTCCTACAAAGCCTTCCAGACGTCGCTGTGCAACAGCTTCCGGGAGTCGCAGATCTATCTAATGGACCACCTTCTCAGCCGACAGGTGATGCAGAACTTCTTCGCGCTTCGCTACTCGAACCACCTGTGGGGTGAAACCTTAAACAATCGCCATGTGGCAGCGGTGATGATATCCGTGAAGTGTGACCTTCCGGTACTGGCGACTCGGGCGGACTACTTCAACCACCATGGCATCATTCGCCACTTGATGACCAACCACATGATCCAAACTGTGGCCATGTTGGCCATGGACCAGCCATACACAAACAGTGCCGAGGATCTGCGGGTCGAGAGGCTGAAGGTCCTTCGACAGGTTCTCACCCCCAATATGGGTGACGTGGTCATCGCACAGTATCGCAACAACCGGAAGGAACTGGAACTGGAAAAGTGCGGCTACACGGAGCACAGCTACATACCGAAAGACTCCTTCACTCCCACCTTCGCCATGGTGGTTCTTTACATCAACAGTCGCCGCTGGTCCGGTGTGCCCTTCATCCTGCGGGCTGGAAAGGCCATGAACGACAGCAAGTCGGAGGTGCGCATCCAGTACAAGCCGGTGGACTGCGACGCTTTTCACAGCGACAGCGCCGACGTGAGAAACGAGCTGGTCCTGAGATCCTTTCCCACGGAGGAAGTGTTCATGCGCATGCGTCTGAAGCGACATGGAGAGGACCTCTGCCTTCGGGAGAGCGAGATCAACCTTAGAGTGGACGACCGGGGACCGAAGGGCATCCAAGGCCTTCCCGGCTTCCTGCTCAACGTCTTCCAAGGCGACCAGACACTCTTTATGCGCACCGACGAGCAGTGCGAGATCTGGCGTATATTCACCCCGATCCTCACTTCCATCGATGCCGACCGTCCCCGCCCACTCAACTACGACTTTGGGTCCCGGGGTCCTTTACTGGCATACCGCAAGGCTGAGCGCGTGGGCTTCGTGTTCTTCGCCTCGGACGAGTGGCACCAGAGCGAGGAGACGCTGGAGTACACGGTCAAGAGGAGCAAGCAGCTCATCGGACCCCATACCGCCCTCAAGCCGGTCAGGGAGCCTCGGTCGAAAAGGGCCTCGAAGCTAAGCTCCAATCCTAAGGCAGAGAGCTAATAAAATCAACAACGAAAGTTTTTTAATTAAACAAGTGCAGCGTGCTGGGCTGCACCAGCTGGCCACCTCTTCACCTTGACCGCTCCACTGGCCGGGTCCAACTTGTTCCGTCCTGTTCGGTTCTGTTCTGTACTGCAGTTGTTGCCGATGTTGCTGGTGAGGATGTTGCCCCGGGCGGGAGTAAACAACACGCATACCTTAACCATTGTCCTTTGTACGAAGGACTGAGCACCGCAGGGAGCTATTAAATAAATGGAGTTATGGGAACTACGGAATTCTCTTCTTTACTTTCCACGTTTGTCAAAGTGAATGTTTGATTGCAACTTTTAGCATTTATTTATTTTAATATTTGGTTGATTATTTTCTTGTTATAAACTATACTAAAAACTGTAAAAAGTTATATAAAGGGTCCTAGCTCGAGCTTTTCGGGTTTTATATCATAAGTATCATAGCGTGAAAGTCAGCACTTGATTGGTTCGAAAATGTTGTGTAAATAAAATAGCTATCCCAAACTTTTAAATTCAAAATTGTTTTCAGTCGATGAGTTTCCTGAAGATATAAAATTTGGGTCTCAGATATTTTAATATACCAAACTCACTTCAGTTCCGACTTCCTTGGGTATCCAGCAGTGCTTGTATTAGGCAGTTAGCCCGTTGCTGTTAAACTGGCAAGTTCCCCGTTTCGGAAAAGTTTCCGATAACTAAACAGCAGTTGATGAAAAAAGTACACACATACATCTATAAGCAACTATAGGGCAAGAGAGTTTGCAATAGTGAGGAAAGTTACTTTGATTTCTTAAGCGCAACTTTGGCTAAGAAACTTTGAACTGCTCAATCACCAGTCTTTGACTTCTTGTTTACCCCGTAAACTTTGGTGTGGTCACCGGCCACTGATGATGATGAAGATTTCGCGCTGATTCGGCAAATATTCGAATGTAAATCGGTTGCGGAAATCTGAAGGCCACCGAATCGGGGAATGTATTCTAATAAGCTAATGCACTAAGCGGCTAAATTGCATTGTTATCTTTGGCATACGTTTGCTGAAAAGATTTCCCTGCCACGCAATCGAGGAGATATTGTGGGCCACTACCCAGTCCAATGTTTTCCTCTTCCTTGTTGATTTTCCATGGTCTTTGTTGGCCTCTGCCGGGCTGAAGCCACCCACGCATATGCTTTGTGTTATTTTCCTTTCTCTCCGCTTGTTTTCCTCGCTTGTTGCCGGCTCCTCTCCCTTCGGCAGTCAAAAAGCCAAATAAAAAGATTTTTCTCCCCCGGAAAGATTCCAGCGCTGTGTCTGGGCCATGAAAATCATTAAAAACAATATTGTCGCTTTCAATTGAGATTGCCTTTGGAGTTTATTTATTTTATTTGGCATCCTCGTGCCGTTGGCGCTGCTTTCACATGGGACTTCTGCCGTTCCGGCTGGCTGTTTGTGATTGCCTATTTAATTTCCTAGAACCATAAATGGGGCATACGAATGTATGGACAGGGGGAGTGTCGTAAACCGATTAAATAATTTGCTATTTATTCCAAGGAAGTAAAAAGATTACCTAATCACCGAAGGTGCAGTCTCAGGCAGATTTGATATGCCTAGATCATCGTGGCGTAACCGTAACCCAAGCCCAAAGGCGGCGTACCTAATCGACCCTGCCGAATCTCGGGGCGAGACCAATCTTGGCGAATCTCTGTCAGGGCCCCCTATGCCAGTGCAAAATTGGAATCCCCCTCATGCCTCTCCACCTTCTTTGTACACACATATGACTGGCATCCTTCTGTGTCGGTTGGGGTTTCGGATTCCACCATTTCACTTTTTAATACCCCACAAACGGGGGACCCAAACAAACACACCTGAGGGGCGGGAGCAGGGCAGGACGATAAAAAACGAGTCCTGGCTGCACACCTAGTGGCAAAGAGGATTTCGTGTTTGGAAACCGTAAAGTGAAATTAAAATGGCTGGGCCAGTGCTGAGCTGACCAAAGCTCCCCCTCAGAGGAGGGCGATATTGCGAGGATGGGCAATGGACGTTGTTGAGGTAGTAAAGCAAATGGCCAGCGCGCTTACAAAACACGGGCAATCAAAAAATTGTAGTTAGTTGGCCATCGACTCATCCTTGGACACGCTCCTGCCCTGCACAGGAGGAGTTGTGCAACCCCACTCGGTGGGTCTTCCGTATGTCGGTGGCGCTATCTCTACTGCTATTGCAACTGGTCCTCTGCCAGTCCTGTTACTGACCAAGTTACAGCCACCTACAACGAGTGATTACAACCCGTGACACTCTACACAAGTTGTGGCCCAACATTTTGCGGTTTCGAAATGGAAGTAAAGGAAAGGAACGGAACGGAAAGGAAAGATTCCATGGTCAACATTTCAAATTGCTTAATTTAAAAGTGACTGGCAAAAAAGGAGCAACCTGGCGAGGTATGGAGTTGGGCAGTCGAGCGATGGGATGTTTGGGCTTAGGGAGTGTGAAAAAATAGTTAGCTAAATGTTGACCAGCTCAGTAGTTGGGGCTTGTGGCTTTGGAGGTGTTCCTGGTCATGGTGTTGGTTTCTGTTCTCCAACAAGCTCGTAATCAAAGCAAACGAATTGGGCAGATTTTCAACGCCTGTCTCACCGAGGGATGTGTGATGAGAAGCCAGGAAATATGTTGCCCTAACATGAAATGGAAATGGAGACGGGTAAAGAAAGTAAGTTCAGCTGTAGTATGAATCGGTCTAGAAGGGTGTGAAATAATGGGATTAGTGATGGTGTGAATTGGGATAGTGATGGAAAGTGGGGTGTGAAATGCAAGACATGGAATAGAAAGTGATATGAAGTGAAGGCCTTCTGTTGTTTATGATGAGTTTGAGATTTCATAAGGCATGGCGATATGTGATTAAGTATTTGATAGGGCTTTGAAAGGATTGACCCATCAATATTATGAATATTTTCCATTGGCCTTCAGTCTAACTAGTTATACATCTGAGACGGGTTTTTAGCTTCCAAACTATTTAGGCAACCTCCGCCAGCTCCCAGCTCCATACATTTTCAGCACCGCCACTCTGTTTTACCTTTGCTGCTGCTGATACCTGCCTCCAGGGCTCCGTTCGATGGATTCTGATAACGTTTCATTTACTGCTTCTCAACCTGCCTGCCAGAAGCGGAAATCTACGAGGAAGGGATACGCGTCTGGATGAGAGCTGTAAGAGGTTTCTTAATTTCGAAGATATTGCGAAGTAATTGCTTGTTTGTCCTGGCCACATGATCGACAGTCGGTGCCTTGCCACATCTCAGTTGTCCGAGGAACCCGAGGCATCGGCTTAAAGAGTTTAACGGTTAGCTGAGCTTTTAGATCCTGACGTTCTCCGTTCCCGTGGCACGTAAAAATGCGGTTTATAGTCCATGTGCACTCGCGGCGGCATCTCGGCTTCTCTTTCCATGCTCATCAGCGTCTTGGAAATGGCACTATATAGAGCTGCAGAAGCTGTAGGATCACACAGTAAAAAATGGGTTAATACTTAAATTTTGTTATGGAAAATCAATACAAAATAATGTTGAAAACTGTGCTTTGGCAGTGCAGTAAAGAAACATCATCAAGTTCAGACGAATAAACACAGAAATACTACTGTCCTGCGCCCATTTTCTCATTCCTGTGAACTATCTTTGAAAGCGTACTCATGTTAAAGTCCAGTTTGCAGCATTACCAAGTACTTTAACCGTATTGGGCAGTTAAAAAGCCACAAGTGCCTAAAACAAAGCACTCACATTGTCATTGACACTCTTAATTTTCGGCCTAACAAACCCATATGTCTTCCTCTGTATTTTTGCGGAGTGCATCACACAATGGCAGCGTGCACGTTTGCAGCTTCTAAAGTTGCCGTGGTCATAGCGTATGCGTGTGCGTATGTCTCTGCATTTGTGCTGGTGTTAAAACGTGTCATTTGATGCGTAGGATGTCGTAATATGAGCTAGGTGCTTGACTCTTCCCAGCTCCTTTCTGTGTGCTCACTCAGTCAGCTGGTTTCACCCCTTCCTGCAAACCCCTCTGAAAAGTCCTGAAATACTTCCCCTTGAATGCATACATATGCAAATTGTCCTCGCCTTACGACCGGCTCCTCATTCATGAATATTTATATTTAAAATGTTTTTCGGCATGCTTTGATAATTTAATAAACTTATGTCATCTATGAAAGACTCGAAAACGGTCCCCAGAAACTCGAGGATGCCTCGGATGATTTCAAATGAATGAGTAACCGAGTAAGATTTTTTAACTTATTCTGCTCTTCAGCCTCACTCGGTTCTTAAAGCTGCTTATTTTCCTACTCTACCCATTAAGTACTTCTTTTTCAAAGATTAATATTTCCCAATCATAAAATTAATCGACATAATGTGACTTCTAATTAGTTTTTGGCATCAGTTTTGTGATGTTTGTTAATCTCTTATAGAACAACAATGTCCAATTGTAACGAAGCCCCGCGCCACCAGTAAAGTATTTTGCAAGACAAACAACTTTCGCTGAGCTTGTAAAAGTTTCGTCTCTGCTCATCGCCCACTTTCTTGGCCTCTTCTTATCCTTGATATTCTTGCATTTTATGACTGATTTTTATCGCACATTAACGTCATCTGCTTGGGTTGAATCCGAATCCAAATCGAAACCTCCTCCACTCTGGAAATCTTACTTATTAGAAACGACACCCATCGAATCTCCAAACTCAACTGTCGAGTCATCTCCATTTGAACTCAAGAGCGATTGGTTAAGCGGGGTTTAGCCTTATTTGATTATCTGTTTTGCTCAAACAAATATTATGCGACAATTTGCCATTTATTTCCGGGTCGTAAATACGCTTTTATGTTGCACGCCGAAGAAATTTATTTGTTATGCGTTTTCCTTTTCATAAACAAGCTATGAAGTGCTTTTCCCGGTCCTTCCACAGCTGCTCCTCCTATTTTTATTGACTCAGCTGAGTTATTGGCGATGTGAGAGGTAATTCAGTCTAAACTTTATTTCAGCTCTGATGCCCCAGCCCGAGGGCGTATTATAATTTGAAAATAGTTCTTCACGCCACAGTTCGCTGAGCATTTTCATAATGGCAATTTCGGTGTGCAAATCCGAAAGATACGAGCGCCAGAGGGGGAGCGGAGGAGTGTGGTTCGCCCGACTTTAGTTATGGCTGCATTATAAATTTCAAATGCAGCGCCCAGACACTCGGCTGCTGAACCTGTCCAGGAACCGAGTCCCATTTGTCAGGGTTATGCGCTCCTCGGTCTCTCGCATACGTTGCGGTTTATGCACATGGCAATCTCTGGCACCTCCTCATTTCCGCCCGCCATCTTGACTCCTTGTGCGACAATCGTCTGGGCTGCATTACGCTAATAACCTAAACCGTGTGAGTTATGGCGGGCTAACTGCAATTTTCGTTTTGCTAAGGGGGCCAAGTGGCGG